GGAGGGAGAAAATACCTTATAATAGATCGCTCATTGTGCAAATAAAATATGATTCTAACCAGAAAGTTGGTAACAGCCACGAGAGTGGCAGAAAACACAATGGCAATTAGCATAAGAGTTATTTTAGTATTCGAAATATACATCGTTGTTTCAAATCTAAGAGCATCATTAACACCATAAATGTTCTTTAAGGCTAATTCTCATACTAAATAGTTAAAATTACATAAACTAGATATTCAGTATTAATAATTTATGAAATTAGATATTTAATATTATTAATTTAATAAACTCTGAATAAGAAAATTTAAGCTGTCTCTAACACATGAATCATCTTATTCCATACAGTACGCATGTAGTATGTAAAAACACACAATAATTTCAAACAAAATTCCATCTTTAGAAAAGTTCAGATAATTGTGATGCCTTTATTGGCATTTTCTGATTATTCGCACACCCTGCAAAGAGTTCCTAACTCATTGCCCACTTTATTTCAAATTTCAAATTTTAACATAGCCACCATAACATTTACAACATTTAATATTTGACTCAGAATGGAGGAAAAGATATAACATATAATTAATAATTATCATACATTTTCACCCTATCACAAAGAATAAAATCAGACTTCACAGTTTCATATGCAATAAATAATTCAAAATAATTATTCCTAAACCGCACATTAAAGGTATATCAAAAGTACTTCTTGCCACTCTCATGGCTGATGCCGAAGCATGAAAATAGTCTGCGATCCCGCCAAAGTTGCGTTAGAGTTTCAGGCCTCTTTATTTAATAAAATATCAGTATTCGACCCTCGTGGCTTTAGAGCTTCGTAAAAAGCGTTTTACCTATTTTTGCTTTTTTATTAGGCCTCCGATTTTACCGGAAAATCTATTTAGAACAATACGAGTACAAACTTCACCCAATTTGTTTCAATCTATTATTGTTTTTGTTTGCTGACCATACCCTGTCCTATAATACAAACTTTTTTTTAATTGTAGATTTTCATAACTTGAAAGATAATCCACTGCTTGCTTTTCGGTATAACGCAGATCCCAAATTTTAATATTTTTTCCCCCAAAATACAAGAACAAAGTATGGAAATTACATCTAATTTATATTCTTTTCCATAGTAAACAAAAGGTGGCTCATCGAGAATCATTTGGAGTTACATCAAAAGAAAGCACAGATGTTATGAGTGTTCTGTTATGTTCCGCTTACTCATAACTGGCGTTAAATTGCACTGCTTGGCGATATTTTCACCGTCAATGGGAAAATATGTATGTACCGAAAGAGTGAACATTTTTCTAAAATCATTTATTTTGTCTTAACTATAAGAATTAAATTATCTTAAGAAATTAAAGAATATCAGAATGCGTTCAGAATAGTTATACTGTTTAGTATTAAATTGAATTTTTAGCACTAATAAGACTAAACGAGCTTCTAGCAAATAAGATGATAAAATGAGTTCCTAATAATTACCTAGTAGGTTACATAGTTAGCAGCTAGTAGGTCAGTGGTCTCAAATTACATGCGGGTCAAATGCACGATCAGACAACAGCTGACGGGCCAGTTTTTTAAAATAAAATACACACTTTTTAATAACAAAACAATAAATATTTTTGGTACTATTCAATTTTTGTAAAAAATCACCAAACTATTATTGTTGATGCCAGTGCTGCTAAAAATAATCGCGGCAAAACTAATGCAAGAAAGGAAGTATAATAGTAAATAACTATCTAAGATTGATGTTTTAATTTAGATGAAAGATTAATTTCATATAATACTTTTTTGTTATTATAATTTATCTAAAAAGGCTAAACATGACTGAATGGAAGCATAAGAGTAAATAACTATTATAATTTATATAAAAATTGCTAAACTTAACTGAATGGATGCCTGCATCGCTACCGAGTTATCGCTAAAGCATAGTTTCATCTCGTTGGTTGTTCAAACATAATTTTCTATAATGAATTGAAATTCATTATAGAAATTCTCGGTATTCTTTGAAAAAATTTTCGGTAAAGTGCAGAATCACCCACTTATTTGTTTGTCGCTTTTTACAAGCGTAAAAACAACTGGATTTTTGTCAATTTTCTTTTAAAGTGAAAATAGGTCGATGTGTACATAGATAAAGTCAAGGTTGTGTGCAGTGCCATTTTTGTGCAAATCTGAGAATTTTTTTTTTTTTTTTTTTTAAAGTGAAAATAGGTCGATGTGTACATGGATACCGAGTATGTGCATTTCTTAAAAACGCGTCATGCAGTGGGTGATTCTGCACTTTACTCAAAATTCTATTGCAGACTTTTCGTTATGGGTAATTCTCAAATTTTTAAATCCATAGGATATCAAAAAAAGGATTTAAAATGAAAAAAAGAATTTAAAAATTAAACTAGTATTTCAATGGCGTTTTAAGAAACATAGAACTATATAAACTTAACGCAATCTGAAATCAGCGCGTACGCTAGATTTGACGTGTTGTTAAATGGGCGCGTTTGCGCATACATTTTCGCTGCAATTTTTTTTTTCGGTCCTCAAAACGGAATAGTACTTTTTTTAATAAATTTTTAATTTCACTTGCTAAATATTATTAAAAATATATAATAATAATATCGCAAAGGAAAAAATTCAAATTTATATTTATTTTCTATTTGAAATCTAAAGTTTGGCACCTTAAAAAACTTTTGTTCATTACCCTTTGTGATTCAAATCTATTGACAGCCAACTATTAAATTTTCAGACTGACATTTATATCAAGTTATTCTAATGTGTTTTACAGTCAAAAGTCGTTAATCCGGACTCGTCGGGAATTCGGCGATTCCGGATTATCGATTTTTCCGGATTATAGATCATCAGTTTAAATCTGGTAAGATGGCATGCAGAAATTATAAAATTAAAAATATGAAACCGTAATTTATGAAATAAAGAACAATTGTGATCTAAAGGGTATCAAAATTTACAAAAAAAAGCTTAATATTTATTTGTTTATTTTATTAAACATTTCTTTCAATGTAAGTTGTTTAAGTTGCTTCGTTTTATGTTATAATACTTTCTTTTAATTCTTTAAACAGACATAATTTCTTGTTCAGTTACAAAGTTCCGCTGTTTAAGTCCTATAACTGCTGTGTCGAGAATACCGACTAATTTGTCAACCGAAATTTTTTCGTTTCAATAACCTCTGTGTCACTTTCTTCACTATCGGAAGCGAATTATAATGACGAGGAATTTGATTTAAATCATATCAAAGACGGAGTACATCGAGATGAAATACTACATTTAATAAGGAATTATAAGCCAAATAAAATAAAAACATCTGCCCTGAAGATAAGGATAGTGCTGACAGATCAACTTCCAATTCATTGCGCGCCGCGGCGTTCCCCCCCCCTCCTCAGACCAACGTGAAATTGATAAACAGATTTTGGAATGTTTAGAGAAACGAAGGATATGCCTTCATCCATTTTCTAAAGCAATTCCGCTTTTTGTTTAATGGACTTCGAAACATACTTTCGCTTTGTAGATCCTTTACATATTAGTAAATATATATCGGAAATTCTATTTGACATAATCGAAAGTTCAAGCTTACTTTTATAAAATTGCTCTAACAGTTTGCAAAAAATAATAAGCCGGATCCAATTCGAAGATTAAGGAACAACGCAATCTGCAACATTAACTGAATTAGATAATTTTAGCTTAGCTTATACCGTCCGTTATACATTAAACGCGCATGTGTAAACGTATTATGTGCATGCGCACACGCATATTCGCAGCCGTAAATGGACCCATGTGCAGAAAGTTTGTAGCTTTGAGGTCCGGATTATAGATCATTCCGCATTATGGGTGTCCGAATTAACGACTTTTGACTGTATTAATTATTAAGTTTAAACCAAACATTTAAAAAAAAAAAAAAGAAAAAAAAGAAAGAGAGAAGAAAATTTTTTATACGGAACAATATTTCAGTATAAATAATGGCTTGGTTTGGTTCAGTAGATTTGGAAAGCACACTAGGGGTATCTGCTGAAGAGAAGGGATGCCTTTGTGAAGGACTTTCTAACGGAAATTGCCTCGTATACACGTTACACAAGGAGAAAAACCACGAAAACGCCCTTGCAACCTGCCCGTTCGCCTGGAATCGGACCCAAGGTGGAACTACCAGTGTTCAGCGATTTTACCGGTGATGGATCAGAATAAATGACAACTTAAGACTATTTATTAAATTTTTCTTTAGTGCATAAATAAAAAATACATGTGTTTCACTTGATAAAGTTAACAGCCTTGGAATTCGACTGTGTAAAAGTGTTGTTCACGTATATATACATTTCCTAACAAAGCGATTGTTCTTGGTCCAAAAATACATAACTGAGCTTATTTACTTTTTGACAAGTACGAATAAAAGTTAAAACATCTGTATCTTCAAATCTTTTAACAAGATTTATATCACATTGTAAATTACTTAGCTTCATTTACAGATTTTCTGGTTCGTTTTTAATGGTAATGAAAAGAATGCTCTTAACTTAATCTTTGCAACGCCATATTTGCGATAAATAGATAATTGAAATGCGTTTTCGGGCTGCATGAGCCCCGTTTGAGACCACTGGCTTACATCAAACGAAAATTTTCAAAACGAAGTAGATAAAAATGCAAGCAACAAACTTATTATGCACACGCATACGTAAATATTTTTCAAGCAATACTGTTAGTAAATCAAAAAGACGTGCAAGATATAAAAGAACTACTTGCAAAACATAAATCATGAAAATTATATTAGTCAGTTGAGTCCTTTCTTGGAGATATGATAGTCATACATGTATTCTAGTGAAAATCCTGGCGACTCCTTGGATATGTCTTGGTGTTGCAAAAAAGTTATAGGCTTGCACCATTTCATGACAAGACGCTAATTGGTTCGTTAATAGAATCTCAAGAGATATCCAAGGAGACTAGGCTTTCACTCCAGAAGTCACATGCCCAAGCACAAAAGTCATGCTTGTGAAATACTTGCACTCTACCTGACGGTTGAGCAAATTTTTTGGAGCTGAGTTGACCAGCACTAGACCTCTGGAGCCACATATCCTAGAAGGATCAAATCGCTGGACGTAAGGCAGGAACTCTATCACTGACTTAGATACGGAAGGTGACAAAAACTGTGGAATCAGCTTGGTTTCTGATGAGTTTAGTCCGAATCTGAAGATTCCGATGACTCCCAAAGAGAATGCGCTGACTGTGAAGCAGATGAAGATTCGCTTGAGGAGCTGCATCGGCAACTTCGGCATGAACCTTTCCTATAAAGAAATCATAATTTTTTTTTAAAATCATCGCCATCGGAAGACATCAAGAAAGATATCAAGAATTATGAAGACATCAAGAATCATAGGAAGACAAAATTCATCGCAATCGGTCTAACACATGAACAGTTTACCCATTCAGAAGTTTAGAAATATGAATAAATTAAAAGTGGAAAACAGAACAAACATTTTTTTTAAATAAAAATCATACCTACTGCGGCCTGTTCAAGAAACTAAATTTTTACAGTTGACTAGAATTAAAACTCAATTTAGAAAGAATTTCAATTTTAGAAGTTTTGTTTATAGCCACCTTTCTTTGTGAGCATAAAGTACAGGGGGGGGGACAAATAAAAGTGGCTCGGAGAATAGTTACTCTGTTTTCTCGACCATTTGATTTGCTCTACTCTATGTCATAAGTATTAAAATTAAAAACAGATTACAATTTAAACAAAATAAAAAAACGAATAATATTTGAAATGATTCTGATTTTAACGTTGCACCAGATTAAAATTATTTTTTTATGTTGTAGTTGAGCTCGCAGTTAAACCAATCTGCTCTTGAACTTATTTCTGCTAACACAACTTTTTAAAAAAATTTTTAATTTTATTACTAAACATTGCTTGCTTCGCCCTTAAGCCAAATAAAATTCACCAGTAAAATTATAAAATTTTTAAAAGCAGCATATGCTTAGAATTCCTGATACAGTGTTATGTTTTGCCATTATATTTTTTTCAGTCTTTTCGTGCTTCGTCATAACAATGTTTAGTTTTGTTTTAGTAACATGACTCCTATAACTCTGTCTTTTTATTATTGAAATTTTGTCCTTTTAACTTTATTTAACCACTTGCACTACGACTAAACTTTACGGTTGCGGTGCCGTGCGCTACAACATAACAAGCGGTAAAGTGTCTCATTTACGCCGCTCCGCGTTTGCGAGTGCAATCCAGAGCTGTAACTCGAGAAATAAACTATCTCGTTGTTAGGCGACGTGTGCACCACGTTATGTTCATTTTTGCGATAAATGCCTATCGACGAGCTGTTCACGTCACTCGCGGTTTGAGACAAAAGCATCTCGACGTGCATGGCACGTTTTTTTAGCGCAAGTGGTTAATATCACTTAGCATTTATGCCATATAAAATTCAAGTCTGAGCATGTTCTAAAAATGGTTGAATTGGTCTTTAGGTTTAGTTTCAACGATTACCTCGTATAGTTCGCTCTGCATGTGCATAGTCGAAGGCGTCACTTGGGTTGATCACTACGATTTCTTTTGCTTCGTACGTATTTCCGTGCGTATTTTCTTTTTATCCTTTTAAAAATTGATTTAGAAAATTTTAGAACTGTAAAATGAATAAAGAACAGCTGCATGAATGCTGTTTTAGCATTAAACAAAAGATTTCAGCAAGGCGAATCAACAATAAAGCTCGCTGAAGAATATGGAATTGGCGCACAAACTATTCGTTACATTTTCAAATGTCGCAAGAACAGAGCAGGGAGTGATACTAAAAATGCAAATGCAGAAGATACTGACGACTAGTCTCGAAATATGACTTCTGTTGAACTCTACTGGACATCGTCGACCAAAGGAGATTCGAATACAGTGAGAAAAATAGCACTTCGAAAAATACGCAGCAAAATTCGAGAAGTATTTAAACGTTCTAAAAAAAAACGAAGTGAAATTACGGATTTGTTTATGAATCCAATGTACATGAAAATTGATAATTTGGATTATCCATGACATGCTTATCTGGCATTATCCAAAATAATCGACAGTACAATGTATACTTTGCTAGAGAAAATTGCATAGCGTGTGTTATTCTGTAACAGGAAAGATTCCAAACTTCATTAAACAAACCTGTAAACCTTTTTATACTCACTGCGCATTTTCGTTTTTAGAACTGTGCTGGAATTTCTTTTCATTTCAGTTTCTGAAAACTTTAAACTATATATTATTCAGGTATAAAAAAAAAAAAAAAAAAAAAGACGGGTTGGTTTGATTTATGTAATTACGGCAAAGCCTCGAGGGCTGTCTGCCTAAGGGATGAGATGCCTTCGTGGAGGACTTTCTAAGGGAAACTGGCTCGTATACACGTTACTCATGGGGAAAATCACGAAAACGTCCATGCAGCTAGCCCGTTCGCGGGATTCCAACCTCGGACCGAATTACCAGTGTTCAGTGCGCCAAATGTGAGGTAGTATAATCTAATTCGATGAAATCAAAACAAATTACTACTAAATAAAATAGGAAGGCGGACAAACGTACCAAATCCAGAGGAGTCACATAAAAGCTCGACGCTGGAGGGGGCTTAAAAATGGGGTAAATGCTCTTAAAATTTAAATAAACAAATTCTGTATGTGTCTGCATTATGCTGAAAAGTAGTTAACTGAGAAGCGGGAAGAAACAAACTGTCTGGTGTCAGAAAATGGTCTGAAGTGACAAGCATATTAATAAGAATGGATGCAAACGGATAGATTTTTCTTCATGATTAACGGAAATGCAGACGACCAACAACCTTGGACTTGCTCAAGCTACTGCAACAATTAAATAAAAAATGTTCTTCCTTGTGCAAGCAGAATATTAAATAAATAAATAAATAAATATCTGATGCAGCAGGCAACTTCCCGCTAACTCCATGTTTAATAACAAAGAGTTCTAACTTCGTTTTCACAATGAACTAATTCGTGTTTCATTTGGCATTATTTCAAGATTGCATTTAATGTTTAATAAATGTATGTTGGATTCAATCACATACATGTGTTAAAACGAAATCTGAGAAGTTTTGGTTTATCTAATAATATATTTTTTTCACGAAAATCTGGTTCAAACTTCAAGTACCATTTCCAGTATTAAGCCAAAATGCAATATACTCTTTCTACCGATGTAAAAATCTTGAATACTAAAATACGGGCTTCATATAAAGTATTACTTTCGGTTGTTCAATTTTACCCAAAATCTAATAAATTCTTTCTGTAAACCTATTTTCGAAGCACTTTTTGCACTCCGATTGAGGTAACTGCGAACCATGCTTTCTGAATGCCTCAACCGCTTCTTCCGTTGTCGCAAATCACTGACCACGTAATTTATTTTTGATGTGTGGGAATAAAAAAAAAGTCATTGCGTGCCAAATCAGGGCTACACGGCAGACGACCCAACAATGCGATGTTTTGCCCTGCCAAAAATTCTTTTGTTTCAGCCGATGTGCAAGTGCGCATTGTCAAGATGAAAACTCGCCTCTTCTGCATTTTCGAATTTCTCCGAGAACTTCTGTCATACAAACGGCCGTGTACCATTCGGAATTGATCGTCCTGCGTTGCTCTAACGCGCCACTCTTGCCAGGTGACCACATTCCATTCATTCATGCCTTCTCCGGGTTCGAACCGGGGCCTTCTGCACGGCAGTCAGCGCCGCTAACCACTATACCGGTTGGGCGGCTTGATGTGCTTCTTCCGCGAACAACTTTTGTTGGATTTGGCTCGTCTTGAAAGACCCATACAGTCCAATCTGTTTCGAGCTCATATGCATAGATCCATGATTCGTCATCTGTGCAGATGTTCTACACAGCTTTTGATGTATTTTTAACGTATTTTTCTAACATTTTCTTGAAACAATCGACTCAAGACTTCTTTTGAGCATTTATCAGATTATGCGGGATCCAAAGCGAACAAATTTTTTTAACGGCCAAATGTTCGTGTAATATCTTATTGATGCTTGTCATACTAATGCCCAAAGATGCCTCCACGGTATATCACATGACGATCTTGCTTTATCAGTTCATGCAAAACATCATATTTTCTGGCACAACAAACCAATTTTGGACGACCTCCACGAAATTCGTCCTGGCGAAAGTCGACCACGAGTGAATTTCTTATACCAGATTTTTAAAGTGCTCTAGGGTGGTGCTTTATCGCTGTACAAAGAATTAAGTTCATCGAAGCACTCGTCTTGATAATCCACGTTGAAAGTTAAGAAAAATAATCGCATGAAAATGTTCATAAGTTAATTCCATTTTTTGCCCCAGATTATTTTTTTAGCTTATTGGAAACAACACAATTTACGCTAAAATGGCAAAACGTTCTAAAGAAGTTATGGTTAAGAACATCAAACTTTCGACTGGAATCATCTGCGGTCGTGTAGGAAACATTTACTGTTGCCAAGGGCAGGAATATAAATAGCCACCTTCGTATTAAAAAAAAAAAAAAAAAAAAAAAAAACTACTTTTATTCAAGTTTCTGTGTTTATACACATTTTCCGTACTTTTCTTGTTTAGTTTTAAAACACGTTAAAAACAATCTAAATTTAAATAACTGCGTGTGTATTTTTCGAGTTTGAGAATAGAGGGGGGAATGACCATCTCGCACTGGTGAAAAGGGTGCATGGAGCGAAAACTAAGTAAGTTCAAACTAAGTATTGTTCAATGAGAAGTTTAAATTGTACCATCTATATCGTTCTGCCCACCAGCGGCCGAGCGGTACAAGTCGCTGAACACTGGTAGTTCGGTCCGAGGTTCGAAACCCGCGAACGGGCTGGCTGCATGGGTGCTTTCGTGGTTTTCCCCATGTGTAAACGTGTATGCTAGCCAGTTTCCCTTAGAAAGTCCTCCACGAAGGCATCCCTTCCCTTAGGCAGATAGCCCTCAAAGCTTTGCCGTAATTACATAACCTAACCTAACCTGTATCGTTCTTTCTTTATTATAATAACGTAACAGATATAATCTTTATACTTAAAAAGCTTTTCATACAGACGTAACGATCTCGTGCCGAAATTTTTTTTCGCGCTTGATAGTTGGTGCATATATCTTTCTAGAAAACATTGTTCGAATATGTTGTTTTACAACAGAGAAGATGAAAAATTCTTTTATTTACATTAAGAACAAATATTGCATTTGTGATAACAAAAATTCGCCGCTGAAGATAGCAAAGATCTACGATAAAATTAAATTTAGAAATATCAACATCGTTGCATATGTTTGCCGCATATCTAAATAGCTGAACTTTCACA